ATACTTTGAAAACACACTGGTAATGATAAAGGAGTAGATGTTGCCACCTTCAGTCTCTGGTAACAACCCTGCCATCTGATCCACGTGTCTACTCCCGCTGCAGAGGGTTAACTGAAAAGATAGCAGCAAAACACTTGCTTAAAAGAGGCATAGCCCTTTGTTTGGAGAGCAGGAACTGCTTACAATATTCACACTTCCTGTCCGGTAAAATACTGTCTTTTAAAAAATAAGCTACAATGTATAAAACCAAGGTCATTTCCCACAAAATGTTCATGTGTATTTTTGTGTGTGACTATAAAACACTGCATCTTGTAAAATATCTCCGGTTCTGTGAATTTGAGAAGTTCAGTACTAATGCTTATTATAAAAGTGGTATGTCTCTTAGAATTGTAGAAGCCTAAGCAGTGTATTTCTTGTCTTATTTAAGTTATAATTGTTATTGTATTTCAGATTACATTTTGACACAACACATTACCATTGTAATTCTCAGACCCACAAGTTATAAAATATGAGATTGTCTTCTAAAAAACAAAACAAAACAAAACTATTTACAAATCAGGACCAGAAGTAGAAGTCCCACTTTGATTGCTGGTCCTACGATAGATACACCTTTTAAAGCATCTGGACCAGCGATTTTCAACAGATGCCGCAAGAATTTTTATAACACACAATACCTGACTATTTAGTCAGGGGCACTGACCTTTCCCCCCTTAGATTGTCAAATAAAAACAGGACAACAGCCAACACAAGAGCCGCCTGATGTGAATGAATCAAAAGGATACCTTTTTATTTTGTCCGACTGACAAAAATTTATTTTTTGTTGCGCCCAAGATTTTAGTAATTATTGTATGTATGCTGCGAGATAAAAAAGGTTGAAAATCGCTGATCTAGACCACAGGATATGGGCTTTCTTCAAACTCAGTCACAATGAAATACATTTTATACTTTCTTTGCTGGACTGGTGATACAACTGGTACCAAACACACTCATCTTATTTTCTGACTTGCGGTTTGACTGGTTACAATGGGAAAAGACGCGAGGAAAAGTTCCCATAGGGAGGTGCCCCATGGGGGAATCCCCACAGGTACCAGAAGAAGGGTGGGGGGAGCAGGGAGAGAGTGTGTGGCCGGGAGGGTTATTTTCTTAGAGAAATAAACTTTTCAGTTGCCCTGTGTGCCCAGGGCATTTTCCCAAATAATCTTCGCCCTCATCCGTACCCTGGAAGCCTGCTGTGGCCGCACCATTTGTGTGCACAGAACCTTCCTTGCGCTCCCCCAGGTCAGTGTGACAGTTGACGGGGTCGAGAGGAATCCTACAGGGTTATGAGAAAAAGCAGCACCTTGTCCAGAAAAGTCCATGGAAGTTTTCTTCTTAACCTGCTAGCACAGCAAAATGCCCCGCACTACTGACTTCCCCTGCGGGCTTCTTTCTGCTCAAGCTACGAACCGGCCATCCCACTGGGGACGGAGGAAGGAACACCAAAGTTCTGTGTTCATAGTGACCTTCTGAGAAAGCCTTGCCCAGTCTGTGCACACCTGCCAGGGACAGCGCCCACGGTCCACACGCCAGCCGTCCACTGCCGCTCAGCCACGCGGAAACCACTCTTTCCCACCAAGCGTCCCCCAGTCTCCAAAAATCGGTCCCGTTCATATAAATTTGTCCTGAAATGCTGTCATGTTCATTTAAAAAAAACCCAACTTTTCTGACGAGAGGACTCTAGAGATAACAAGTCTTTCTAGCCTTAAGCTCCTCCAGTCCTGTTTTTCACATACCCTTTAATTTTCCCTGAGGAAACGTTTATTATTTTAGTATTTTGCTACTGTTCTCAATATCCTATCTCAAATGCACCAGTCTCGCCACTGTTCTCTAAACATTCTCGAGTGAGCTGTGCTTCCGTTTTCCAGTGAAGTCTGTGCACGAGGCCACGGGCTGCTTTCACAGGGTGGACGCCTGGCGGTCAGGGTGCTCTCTGCTCGCTGCAGGGGCCGCTCCCTCGGCGGCACCCAGGACAGCCACCGACGGCTGGGCAGCGCTAACGGGAGCCAGGTGCCCATGGGCCTGTTGTGTTTCCTTTTGGGTCCTCAACCCTCTTGCTTCTTTCCCCAAAGTGTCACGCTGCCTCCCACAACCCGGAGCACTTCCTCTGGGAAGAACCGAGGCTTCAAGCTCCTGCCCGAGACCCCTCTTTCTGTGCAGCCCTCCGGAGACTGCCTGTCCGTCACTACGAGATGCCTTCCTTGGAGAGAGATGAGAAATCTTTTCTGAAGGAAGGGATATCAAGTGACAGAGATGTCAAAGCTACGGTGAGCCTTATTTAGAAATACTTTGGGACGAATATCCATCGTATTGCATTCCTTCTGCACAGACGGGTCTCAGCGGTCCCGGTGATGGACGGGGCTGCAGTTCAGCAGCCGTGTGCCAACCCTTCCCACCTACCTCCCTCTGCAAGTGAGAACATAAAAGGACGTGGTACCACAGAGATGGCATAAATAAATTCGGCCTTAATTTGGCACTTTGTTTAGTTCCAAAGTATAACAAAATAGCTCTACATTTAAAAAATTTAGCTTTTACAATCAGTGTTGCATATTGCAATTCATAGCTTTCTGGGTGGCCTGCAAGAAGCTGAATTCCTTTATTTCAAGGCCAGCCAGGTGAAGCTCGGTGGTCCCCTGGTTACCACGTGCCTGGGTGCAGGGAAGGGGTGCCTGTGTGTGCAGGGAGGTTCCGAGGGTCTGTGCATGCCTGGCTGGCAGAAAGGAGCTCTCACGTGGGCAGGAGACTTGGGAGGGTGTGTGTAAAGAAGGTGTTAGAAAGGCGAAGAACTCCCAGGGAAGGGCCCTGGACACTCCCTGCTGCTTGTGTCTGTGCATCGGCTAACAGCCCGGTGAGGGTCGAGCTCGGCTCGGCCAGGCCAGAGCTCCGAACTGAGCATGTCCTGTGTATCCAGGAGAGCCACAGGGCCTGGCTGCAGGGCCACTCACAGCAAAGGTCTTTCCCTCTTGGTGACCCTAAGTTCTGTGTGTGTGTGTGTGTGTGTGTGTGTGTGTGTGCAGGGGATAGATTTAGCCCCTCATCACTTTAATCATTTTTGATTAGTGATGTAATCCAAAGATCAAGAGCCAGGGAGTGTTCTGAAGAGAAACACCTCTGCTCCAGGGCTGCACCCCAACCACCACTTAAGTGTGTGGTGAACCCGCTCAGGCGGTTGACTAGGCCTGGACTCACCGGGCACTCCACCCTCGGCTCGGGCCCCTGGACCAGGCCAGAGCCCTGTCTCTCAGCAGAGAGGGCCTGTAGGTGAGCAACAGGTCACTGCGGAGAAGACGACACTCCAGTGTAGAGCATGCAAAAACATTTCTGTACTTTTAAAAAATGCCCTTTCGTGGCTCACCTCATAAGTATGAAACAAAATTATGGTCGATGCCTTGGCGAGTGCTGATGGATCTCCGTGATGTGGAATTAAATGAACCTTTTTTTCTGCTCTCTTGAAATAAGTGTCTTTAAAGAAAAATAAATAAATGAAGGAGGAAAACATCTCTTCCAAAGAATAATATTTAAAAAGTCGCAGGAGAGTTAAAAAAAGCAAACTGCCAAAATAGAAGAATGTAGACTGTGGACATTACACTGCAGAACCCCCTTATATATATAAAAAAGGAGTATCTGTTATTACTAGATGACTTCTTTCTAATCTTTAAGAAAAGGTGTATGTACAATCTCTAGACATATATTAAACTTTCCTCTGTGCAATTTCCTTTAACATTCCTATGGCTGATCCTAGGCTCCCGTCCCACACAGTGCATCCTGTAAGGTGCTCGTACCTCTTTGCATAGGTATAGGGGAAATAACTCTTTAGCAGGGCAATCGAGAGGAGCGAAGGATTTACAGGGCTTGACAACTACTCTCCTCTCCCCACATCACTACCACCAAAACCAACCAACCAACCAACCAACCAACCAGGTTAGAAAGCTGGATACATGGAACACAGTACAAGCCCGTCCTACTCAATCCAGAGTGTCCTGTACTGACGTGCATTTACCTTTTGGTGTCCTGAGCCAATTCTCAATGAATAGCTCTACTCTTTTTCCAAGAAAAATAAAGGTTTGGATCTTCCCTTTTACCCCTAAAACGTTCAGACTGTTGGTGAACCCACCTCCCAGACACGCTAAAGCATAAAACCTACCAAAGTGCACTCAGAGCGGAGGCTGGTCTGTGGACCTCCCATGGCTTTCTGAACAGATGGGGACAAGGAGGCAGTGCGCTGCTGTCTAGAGCAAACCCGCGGGGACAGTTCTGGTTCTCGACCTTTTCTCAGACCAGATGGTGTGGCGTTTTGAGGGAAAGCCCGATGACACATACACCGGGCAATGACGGTCAGACAAGCGGTGACGGGCAGGTCCCGGCCGTGGTTGGTAGCACATCCCTGAAAGGAGCGTCAGGCTTACCGGGGGCTCCCCGCCAGTCCTGGATTGAGCTGAGCAGGGCAGGAGCTCCTGGGAAAGGGCTTCCCACAGATCCCGGAAGACTTCGAGGTGCTTCCCGCCGGGGACAGCTGGACGTCGGAGCTCAGCTGGGAGCTGGTCTGCTGGTGATTCCATCGCCGACCTCCTGGTGAGTTTCCGCCATCCGGGGCCCTGAGGGCCCTCGGCTCTACCGTTTGGGGGCCGTTCTTCAAAACAAAACAAACAACCAAGAAAGACACAGGAAAGACACCCAGAGCTGCCCCAAGAAGTCAAACGGAAAACCGGGAAAATACTATTCACACGAAAGCAGTATTGTTCTTTGTACAAATGCTACGGGATCACCTGTAGCTTGCTGTGTGTCGGCACGCCCCCCACCCAGAAATGGCATTTTCAGAAAGCTTATCAAAGTATGCCTGCTTCCTAGGTGGAATGGGCTTCGTTGGTTCCGGTGCTAGGAAGTCCACGTGTCCAGACCTGACACACAGGGAGGGACGGTGGCTGTCCTTTCCCACACGTGACAGCTCATCACAGCTGCTCCCGGGGCAGAGCAGACGGGCCAGGCCGGCGGGCTCAGTCCAGGAAGCGCTGGCAAGCCTTCTTCCAGCGGCAGGCCGTGCACCACAGGTCGCGGTTCTCCATGCCGTACACCTTCCGGCACTTCTTGCCCTCGCCCCGAGGCTTCCTGCGGACAGGTGGGGACAGGCGGTCAGTGGGAGGACCTCAATGGGCTTTCCATGGAGGGCTCCACATCCCTTGAAAGACGGAGAAAGGAAGTTAGGGTACCCCTGCCAGTTTGGCTCGGCGGTTAGAGCATCAGCCCACGGACCAATGAGTCGCGGGTTCGATTCCAGTCAAGGGCACGTCGTACCTCGGTTGTGGTTTGTCCCCGCGCTCTGGTTAGGTCATGCGGGAGGCGACCGATCGATGTGGCTCTATCACATCACTGTTTCTCTCTGTCTCTCCCTCCCTCCCACTCTGTCTGATGATAAATAGAAAAAAATATATATCCTCGTGTGAGAAATTAAAAAAAAAAAAAAAAAAAAAAAGCTAGGAAACCCAGCAAGGTCTTCCCCAGGCCAGGCTTTCACGAGCTGGTGATTTTGTAGCCACTGCCCAGGCCTGTTACATCTGGCTTCCCTAACTCAAGCATATGTTTTCCATTGGTTTTTAGAGTGTAGAAGGGAGGGAGACAGGGAGGGGGAGAGAGAAACATCGATGTGAGACAGACACATCTATTGGTTTCTTCTTGAAGGCGTCCCAACTGGGCCAGGGATCTAACTTGCAACCCAGGTACATGCCCTTGACTGGGTTTTGAACCCAAGACGGTTGAGTCTGTGGGCTGATGCTCTAATTGCTGAGCCACACTGGTGGGGGGGCTTCTCTAACTCTTAAGCTTCTATTTGTCCACGTTTGGACATGACATTGGTCATCTGCATTACACTGTACATATGAGAAATACCAGTAGAGAGCGTGAGTATTTCAAGTTTTAAAAGATGCACTTTCAATACTCTCTCGTTGCTCAAATGTCTGGCATCCTGGTTCCGGGAATCCTGGGAGACACTCCTTGCTCTGCATTAGAAACTCCACCTCGTAGTTTATTTAATACAGGGGCCAATGCAACAGGGTTTTACGCAGACCCAGGCATCACTGCGGCCTATTTTGGAGGAAAATGTACTGCGAACTGTTACGACAACATTAAAACAACACATTTTCACTCATAGTTAATGAATGGGAAAAACCTTGGGGACAAAAAAAGGGTTGTCTCATCCATTACGGGGACATTTATGGAAGATCGTATCCCTGGTTTCTCTGTTTCTTGCTATTCGTCTACTTTTCAGGTACCTCCCTTGAGATAAAGAGTTTTGAGTAGTCCTACCTTAGGCTGACCGTCCCTCTGGGCGGGGAGGACAAAACCGTGTGATTGTGCTGTCTCTGCTCACCTGCGCCCCCGGCATGGTGATGTGTCGGCGACACCTGGGGAGGACAAGGAAAACAAGGTTGACAGGCCATGTTCTCTGCACCACACCTTCATTTAGCCTTTGCAACATGGGCAGTGGTCCTTGACCATTAGACGTGGAGGTGAAGTGCCTCCTTCACATGTTAAAATGGGTGGGGTGGTGCTCACGGTGGGATATAAATGCGTCTCCAACAGAAAAGACCCAGAAACAATGAACCCCTTAAGCATTGTCATGACTTCACATTGATGCATTCCCATGTGCCCAAAGTCACATATTTTCATTTGAATATTATTTTAACCTTAAAGGAAATCCTTACTCCAAGCCTCATGAGCTCCCTTTTAAAGAAGAAAAGCTGGAGAGGGTAAGAGAATTATCTAAAATTATGTGGCTGGTTGGTGGCCATGACACCACATGCCCTTGGCCTTGTACCACCTCCATGCTTGCACAAGACACCCACACACAACAAACCCATCTGGAGCCCAACAGTAACAGGGGGAAGAAGCCAGGAGCCGGAGCAATCAGGAATGGTCGTCACCCACATAACACTGACTGAGCGTCACTGTACACCAGGAGTGCTGACAATAGCTTTCCTTTTTGTAACTACCCCATGTGATAAGAACTCCCAATGTTCCCATTTTATGGATGAGGAAACCGAGGCACAGGGAGTTTAAGTAACATCATGGACCCTGATGGCTGGGCAGGGCCGTCCTGAGCTCGCCCCCTCCATCTCCGCCTCCACTCCTAACAATAATGGGGCCTCTCTGTTCTCCATTCCCCTGGGAATTCTCACTCAGTCTCTCTGCATCTCCTGTTCTTGTAACACTCAATATCTTCCTAGCTCCTGGGCTTCTCAAAAGTGGCTCCAAACTAATTTTTATAACAAAAGATAAATGTTTCAAGTAAATATATAATATTTCTGTCACAGAAGAGTGGACATTTAATACACATGAATATGCAATTATGTAGAAGTCAATGTGGCCACAGAAATATCACTGCTGATGAACAGTCATGAGGACATTCCTAAGGCCGGTACAGAACTGACTTTCTCTAGTTCAGGGACTGGCACATTCTATGTTCTTTCCCTGTAAAGGAGTCTATGTACATTCATGTTATTTCCCCAGACATTAATTTAAAAAGGATTAGACAAGTAACAAAAAACCCTAACATTTGATTGGTTTATTTATTTAATCCTCACTCGAGGACATTTTTCCATTGATTTTCAGATAGAGTGGGGGTGGGGGGAGAGAAATCGTTGTGAGAGAGACACATTGATTTGTTGCCTCCCACACGACCTCAATCAGGGCTAGGGATTGAACCACAACCGATGCACATACCCTTCACTGGAATTGAACCCGCGACTCTTCGGTTCAAGGCTGATGCTCTAACCAAGGAGCCAAACTGGCTACGGTGAAACCCTAACATTTCATTTTATTTATTGTTTATCCTCACCCGAGGACATTTTTCCATTTATCTTCAGATAGAGCGGGAGAGAGAGAGGGAGGAAGAGAGAGAGAGAAACATCGACATGAGAGAGACATATCGACTGGCTGCCACCTATATGACCCTAACCGGGGCCGGGGACAAACTGCAACGGAGGTACGTGCCCTTAGTGGGAACCGAACCCGGGGCTCCCTGGTCCATGGGCCGATGCTCTAACCACTGAGAAAAACCGGCCAGGGCAACCCTAACATTTTAAACCACAGTTACTATTGCTCTGAATTATTCTGTACCACTGGTCTTTATTTTTGCTGGAGTTGGGTAGAGTGGATACCTTTCATGTAGGTGGATATGTAGGTTCTTCAAGGAGCCACCCCCTCATCCCCAACCAGGATACATAATAGCAAACCAGCTGTGCATGGCTGTGCTCTAGAATGATCCAGAACATACTCATCTGAATTGTTTTCAGTGATGAGGACGATAGAAAATTTAAAAAATTACTGAAGAACTTGCAGACACCCAAGAACACATCCCTATTTAGTCAAAGAATCGGAAAAGTTTAGGTGACATGCCACTGTTTCCCATGCCCAGGATACAGAGGAGGGCTCTAAATTTTATAAAACTGCCATCCCCCTTCACATGGGGTGCAGTGAGATCCCAGGATGCTCTTCATTGAACAGGTATTTATTAAGCACCAACTACACACCAGGTACTGTTCCCGGCTGTGAGGACAGAGCCCTGGGAAAAAGTCTGTGCCCTCACAGAGTAGGTTCTGGTGGGGGGAGCGTCAGTGGACACTAACACAGTAAAACAGGGTGAAGGGCGGCGTGATGGAAGGCAGATTTATTCAGGGTGGAGAGAGAAGGCCGCTCGAGGAGGCCACCTCTATCTGCAGGCACCGCAGAGAAAGGAGGGCAGTGAGGAAGGCCTGCCGTGCAGAGCAGATGCTGTGTGGGGTGGAGGGCGGGAGGACAGGAGGTGTCAGATCTTGTCGCTGTGGTAGGAATTTGAATGTTATTCAAAGGGTAAGAAGGGAAGCCACTGGAGAGTTTTCAGAAAGTGACGTCTGATTAATGCTTTGAAAAGATCACTTTCAGCTCCTTGGAGACAGCTGGAGAGGAGCCCGGAGGGCTGGTTCAGAGCTCCCCCAGTGTCGGGGGGGGGGGGCACACTGGTGATTTAGATGAGAGTGTGGCTGTGGTGGTGAGAAGGGGCTGGACCCATGCCCATGAGGGGCAGAGTCTGGGACACAGGACAAGAAAACCACCACGAACCTTTAGATGAATCTTAGAGGAATCATGAAGGGTCAAGGACGGACACTCATTTCTGGCCTGAGTGGCTGGAGGGATGCTGGGACTACTTTCTGAAATGGGAAAACAGATGAAAACTATAGGTTTGGGGGAGGAGAGAGGAGCAGGAACACAGCTTGAGGAACATGGACCTTCTGCTGGAATAACCCCTCTGTGATCTGCTCCTGCCAACGGCCTCGTCAGGCCAGGGGTCGAGGGCCTGCCTGTTCTGTATCCTGTCCTGGTGCCCACAGGGCGCAGCAGAAGCCCTCCCCACACATGTCATGTGAGCTCAGGCCCCTGGGAGGACCATACACACCAGCTCCTCAGCTGTCCTTGAGTCTTAAGGGCAAGACAACCGCGTTTTAGCTTCTTATTTTAGTTGGGGCTGAGGGTGGGAGGTCAAAGTGGCTGGCACAGGGAACTAACATTTTACCCAGCACTCAGCAACATGAAAGACAGGCTACCAGGTTATTTGTGATCTCTTTTAATCCTCATAAAAACCCTGAAAAACATTAGCACTGCTCCCTGCACTGCGCAGGTGAGATACTGCATGCGTTGGGCAAGGAAGAGACCAGCGTCCCAGCGTGCAGAGCCGCAGTAATTGACTGAGCACTTGTTTAACGAATTCCTCCCACAGGTCACCTCATTTCGTCTTCGCCATGATCCTAGGATAAGTATAGCCACTGCTTTGTGTTACAGGTGAGCACACGGAGCAGTTTAGTTGCCAAGGCCACAGTGAGCGCTGGTGGACCCGGACGTGAACACGGCTGTCTCCCACCAGCTGGCCTTGGGCCTCCGGTCTCAGCGAAGTCAGCGCCTCGCACTTTCTCCTCTTCCCTTCATGGTGACAGTGTATGCCCTCGAATAAAACCCAGCAAAGCTCTCTTTTGTCTATTGCTCCCAACCGTCTCGGCTTTTCTTTTTCTTTTTTGTTAATCCTCCCCTGAGGATATTTTTTCCACTGATTTTCAGAGAGAGTGGAAGGGAGGGAGGGAGGGAGGAAGGGGGAGAGAGAGTGAGAGAAACATCGATGTGAGAGAGATACATTGATTGGTGGCCTCCTACACATACCCCAACTGGGGTTGGGGATCGAACCTGCAACCCAGGTACATGCCCTTGACCGGGAATCGAACCTGAAACCCTTTAGTGTGCAGGTTGATGCTCTAACCACTGAGCAGCACCAGCCAGGGCCAGTCTCCACTTTTCAATTTTCATTTGTTTGATATTGCAACCATTTCTAAGATCTATTTTGGGGCATTTTTTAATACAGTATATAATACGCTTGGAGAGTACTAGATGTGGAATTGTTTTTAAATAAATAAAATTATTGGGTGATATGTCTGTAATTTGTCTGTTCACTAGGTGTAGCCTCAGAAGCGTTGATCGATCACGCTCTGGATTATACTCTGCTAGTTTCTCCTGTGTGCTGAGGGGATCTGGGTCATGGGATTCCCCCCAATAGGGAGGATCCCATTCTCTGAGCCCCGTGTTCAGCAAGGAGACACGTCACAGGTGCCGTGAAGGCAAGTGCTCCACAATGTCAGTGCCAGGCTGTGCTCAACACGACGGCTCTACCAGGAGGCAATGGAGTCAAGGGCACTGGTAACCGAGGCCCTGCGAGGTCATGGTGTCAGCCTCTCGCCAGAGCAGTGCTACAGGGGTTGTGTCCTCCTGTAAATAACTGGGAGAGATTTCTTTCCTTTGTGATTTTCAACTTCTCAAATGGAATTGAAAGAGAGCCTTGTCTTGGTTTTAACCTCTTATAACATACTATTCTGAATTCTCTTTCTAGGTGTTAAAAAATAAAAGCAGCTAAACCATTAACAAGTAAGTATGACAACTGCAGATTAGGAGACACTCCCGACCCGAAGCCTCCTGCTCCTGGGACAGCTCTGGGGACTGGCCCTGGGGCAGCAGGCTGGCTCGTTCCCACCTGCTTGTGCGAGACCTTTATGAACTGAATATCTGTATTTCCCCAAATCCGTATGTTGAAGCCCAATTCCCAGTGTGGTTGTATTTGAACATGAGGCCTTTAAGGAAGTAATTAAGGATAAATGAAGCCCAAAGGCTGGGGCCCTGATCCACCAGAACTAGTGTCCTTTTAAGAAGAGACACCAAAGGGCTCTCTTTCCATTTCCCCCTTCTCGCGAGGACACAGTGAGAAGGTGCCCTCTGCAAGCCAGGAAGAGGTCCTCACTGGGAATGAATGGGCCAGCACTGGATCTGGGACTTCTAGCTTCCAGAACCATGAGAACATACATTTCCATTAGGTAAAAGCCCTTAGTCTACGGTATTCTGTTAATGCTGTCTGCACAGACCAATGTGTCATGAAAAGACAGAGAAAGGAACGAAGATAATTAGAAGAAAAGACAGGTCACAGGAAAAAAACAGAGATAGCTGTAAGTAATGAAAGTCTCTCCCCACCCCTGCATCCATGGTCTTGGGCTAGAAAAGACTGAATCCCCAGTGACCTTTGTAAACATGCAGATGGGCCTCCCGTCCCCACGCCCTCAGGAAGAGGCCTCACCCGGGGAACTTATTAAAGCCTGACGTCCAGGAAGCCCAGCCTTGGCACATGAATAAATGCAATCCTGCAGGCCTTGGACTTCTCGGAAGCAGGTTCTCTGCACTGTCCAGGAGGCGTGCAAAAGCAGCCCCTCTTCCAAGCCAGGTCTCAAAGAGGGAAGCAAACCTCCAGGGGGGCCCACAACCTCAGGGGTTGGTTTGGAGTACAAACAGAAATGTATGTCTAAAGCGCGTTTCACGAAACGTCAACTGCTCTCTGCCTCGGCGTGGACCCTGGTGAGGCCTCACTAACACGAATTCACTGTAACTGAAAACGCCGAACGCTTCCACCTGAAAAATTCACAGGTGCTGACCTCCAACCTGGCCCCTCGTCATCCAGGGGCAGGACCGCACTCCTGCAGAAATGAACAGTGGCTGGTGCCCTCAGTGGACGTGTCCCCTGTGCTGTGTGCTGTGCACCTGTGAGACCCAGCCCCATAGAAGGAGGTGGGCAGCGAACAGCCCCCATTTTCTGTTAAGCATTGGTGTGGAGTGTGGCGGGTGAAGAGCTCGTGTAGTGGTAAGCCTTCTTTCTACACTAAAACAACAGACCTTGGAAAAAAGCACCCCCATCTTTATGTTCAAACAGGAATAGCAAGCTTACTGCTAGGGGTCTCGTGTTGGCTGAACCAGACCACACAAGCAGGCAGGCTGGGGATTCTCTGGTGAAAGACTCAACTGGAAGCTCACATAGGATTTTAGTGGGAGACCCGGTTACCCCAGCCACTCTGGATATTTGCTGTCAAAGCTCTAGTCTAGAGTGTCCCTGAACCAACAGACAGGGAAATTAGGGACTCTCTGAAAAACGGGGGGCATTGAGATAAAGACAGAGTGAGACAGTGCCCACAGCAGAGATCTGAAATGTCACTGTCGGAAAACAAACACTAGGAGGTACCTGGCTGGTATCCTACTGTGTAAGACAGCGAGGAATGCTGGAGAACAGACCACTCAGAGCGATCTCTCCATACTTCATAAGGAAATGGTTCAATTAATAAAACATGGAGGGAAAATTCCACTTGAAAAGAAACCGGAACCAGGCTGTTCTATCTACATTCTATGTGTGTTTTTACATGAGGTGAGCCGTGGGGTGTATGCTCCTGAAAATTCTTCTCAAGTCAAAGACAAGAACGAACAGAATTCAGACGAGCAGGTCTCTGTCATTCTGGAATTGTGGCTGCCTTTCTAGGTTAGACAGGTTGTCATCAATGTGACATCGAGAGCCACTCTGGTCTTTTTATGTCGAACAAAAACAGAAGTCACCAAAAGGATGGACTGCTAACCTCTGACACCCACCTCAGCACAGCACTGTTCTTGCCAGAAACAACACTAATGCCTAAAGTCTAAGTCATTCTCTTCCCGTCTCACTTGTCCCTCACTGTGTTCTCGGTCTTTTAGAGCAACCAGCAGTGATCACTACTGCAGGAAGCTGGCCACTTCCACGGTTACTCCAGATCCACAGCACTGTTTCAAAATAGAATTCCAGAAGTATTTTCTGGAAGCCACAAATTCCCCAACTGCTGCCAGCAGGATGCGTTTTATTGTTGGCTAGTCCTCTAGGGATTTAATAAATATTCATCACCTGAGAGCAGCAAAATGGATTGAGCCACTTTCATTATTACACGCTCCACAGGAGGGCTTAGTATTCACTGGGAACCTCTGGGAGTCAGTTGCCAGGGGTTGATAATAAGAAGCTTTTGTGAAGTCCTCAGGGAGAGAGGTGGGAAGGAGAAAATAACTAGTGAATATCCATTGTAATAAGCCACTTTCTGGGTCTTACCAGGAGTTATAAACCACTGTGAGCATCAGTAATGTGGGGGACTATGGATGTTCTGTGATAAGCTATAAAAGACCCAGCATATTTTTAAATGAATGATTAGGAATCAGGTTAATTCATGGCAATTTATCAGACAGCAATCATTTAATATGTCAAATCAATTCCTATATACAACTTCACCGGATGGCATATTTTAGCACTCATTTACTTCCAAATTACCCATCCTTATGGATGAATTATTCAGGCTTTGGGGGAAAAAATGATTTTAATTAATTAAGTTTTTTGAACCTTCAAGATAACATACCCACAAACAGTAATTTCAAAGTCATAAATATTATAAAGTTACTCATAATGATAAATGCCATTTATGTACAAGGTCTTTTTCTTTTATGTTCAGGGTCTGAGTTCAGAGATTCATTTTATAAAGCCTTTTGGAAACATACAAATATACCACCACCAAAAAAATCTTGATCTGTTTCCAGTTTGCTGTTTATCAACAGCTGAAACATTCTTCTATTCACGGAGTAGCTGGACTCCTTTGAACTACAAGTGCCTTGCTGAGGAGTTTACTATGTAACGGTACTTCTAGCATTCTGGTTTTTGTCTTTTTGTTGCATGTCTACAGTTTGTTCTCTAACTTTACGTTTGGATTTTTTGTATTTGTACTCACTGGAATGCCTGTGAAGGTAACTGGAGGAGACTGCCAGGAGATGCTGAAGCTGCTGCCATTGGGGGTGAACTTGGCTGATCCTGGAATGGTCACGGGGGGCGTGGCCTGTTACATAGAAAACAGAAGTGGTCATGGGGGGCGTGGCCTGTTGCATAGAAACTGTTAAGAAAGAAAATTTTTCCTCAGAGCCTTAGCTGTCATTACCAAGGTAGGGCCTCAGAAATGATCTCAGCTGTATTCATAACTTAAACTAATTGCCCAATAGGAAGAGATGAAACATGGCCAAAGAGAGTAAGTGGAATAAAAATTTTTATATGTCTAAGCAATCTATCTAAGGTATAAAAGGAGATGGTTTTTGACTACTGATTTCTTTATTTTAGGATACCAGTGAGATATAATTCCTTACTATCAAATTTGGAAATAAATACTTTCATACAGTGATGGTGGGTAAGTTGGTATGTCATTTGGTAGGGTAATATGTATAAAAATTCTTAGAATTCTGTATATTAGCTATTCCACTTTTAGAATTCATTCTGAGGAAATGAATTCAAGAATGTTCATTGCAGAGAACTATGTATTTTTTTTATCCTCACCTGAGGGCATTATTATTATTATTATTTGCATTTATCTTCAGATAGAGCGGGAGGGAGAGAGGGAGGAAGAGAAAGAGAGAAACATTGATGTGAGAGAGACACATAGATTGGTTGCCATCCACACGACCCCAACGGGTGCTGGGGACAAACTGCAACCGAGGTACATGCCCTTAGCGGGAACTGAACCTGGGACTCTCTGGTCCATGGGCCAACGCTCTAAATGCTGAGTCAAACCGGCCAGGGTGAGAACTATGTATTATATATTTAAAAAACTAGAAACACAAATGTCCAATAATAGAGAAATGGTTAAATAAATCATGATATACCCATGGAGCAATTACAAATGATGCTGTTGAAGAATAGTCATTGACATGCAAAACTATTCATGATATATTCAGTGGAAAAGCAAAGCATAATAAAAACAGTACTACAATAGATTTTTATACATATACATAACGAAGAAAATCTTGAAAGACATAGAAGAAATATTAACCAAGGGGCTTTCTCGTCATTCAGATTAGGGATATGTTTTCTCTCTTTCTTTAAATAAATTAAAAAAAAATTTTTTTAAATCCTTATCCAAGGATACCTTTACATTTTATCTTCAGACACAGTGGGAGGGAGGGAGGAAGGAAGGGAGGGAGAGAGAGAGAGAGAGAGAGAGAGAAACATCGATGTGAGAGAGACACAGAGACACATCAATTGGTTGCCACTCACACGACCCCAACAGGACCAGGGACTAACCGAAACTGAGATACATGCCCTTGGCTGGAATCAAACCTGGGATTCCTTGGTCTGCAGGCTGACGCTTTAACAGCTGAGCCAAAACAGCTAGGCTAAATAATTTTTCTTTATTGATTTTAGAGAGAGAGGAAAGGAGAGGGAGATAGAAACATCGATGAGAGAGAACATCGACTGGCCGCCTCCTGCATGCCTCCCACTGGATTTGGGCCCAAAACCTGGGCATGTGCCCTGACGGGGAATCGATCCAGTGACCTCTTGGTGCATGGGTCAACATTCAACCACTGAGCCACACCAGCTGGGCAGGGATAAATTTTCTTTCTCTGCTTCTGTTTTTAGTATTTTCTATGCCAGACATTTATAATATCTATAAATAGAGAACTCCCAATACTGTGAATATAGGGTTCAGGAAGGACCATCTAGATCACCAAGTATGTTCCAACTCATTTTATAGAGGAACAAAATACGTTTATTAAGTTGGTTCAAGTTCACGATTCTGGATCTAAATGCAACACTGACAAACACAAACAAAGTAATGAATTATTCTTTTTGACCAACATCAGGAATAAAATTTATTGTACCATCTAATCTAATAATTCACTCTATTTCATTGTTCTTGAGTTTAAGTCTGCTAAATAAGTGGGCAAATTCTCCTTCTACTGATTTCGTTTTTCTGACAATAAATACAGTTGCTGATGACAGTGGTTTTGGAAAATATTTTGGCAATGTTTAGCAGCAGCTGAAACTGTTCAGGGTACATCCTCTGACTCAGTAATTACTCTTCTGTGAACTCAAAGAAAAACTAAGAGCTACAGGCCCAGAGAAGTCATAGTAGAGTTATTAATGATAGTGAAAAACTGGACAGACTAGAAAGTCGATACCCAACAATAAGAATGATAGAAACAAATTTGATTTAACCTTTTGAGGAAAACAACCTGATTTAACTCTTTCTCCTTGGTTTCAAAAGGAGAAAAAATAAAAGTGAGCTCAGCTACTGGGCTATACACACAGTGTGTGATGTCGTTTTCCTGGTCCTCAGTTGGAACGAGACTGCTTTGGTCAGTGTCGCTCAGGGTCCCTGGCACATCACCTGGTAAGCATGGTCGGTGTGCACGAGGTAGAGGGTGGTGGGGGCAGAGCGGCTCAAGGGCGTCATCAGCTTAGTCTCCGTTTTGGCACCAGGGGTTTCTGTGCGGCTTGAATCCAGGATGGGGAAGGTGGGCGGTGAAGCCAGGGACTGGGAGGGCGAAGCTGGGGCCAGGCTGCCCAGGCCATCGGCCACGGAGTCTGTGTTGAGCTTGATCTCTGTGTAGTAGAAGTCCTCTTCGCCATCGCTGTAATCCGAGTCCCCAACACGCCTAATGCAAACGACAGCAGAACAGTCAGACCAAACCACCCCGCACACGCTGTTCCCTCTGTCTGGAACGCTTTTCCTTTCTCTTGTCTGCCTGGAAAACTCTTAAACTCTTCTTGCAGCATTCAACTGTCCACTTCTAGGGAAGACCTCCTTGATCTCTTAGAGTAATGTGTGCAGGCAGTCAACCAACCAATCCATCACTTATTCAACAATTTACTGAGAATCTGCTACGTGCAGGCACTTTGCTGGGGTTCCCTGATACCACGGCGACCAGGTCATAGATATCAACTCCGCCCTGATGGAAATCACATGTAGTGGGGGAGGCAGACAAGGAACCCATCAATAAATAGGTATTTAATGCATCTGGTAGTAACAAATCCCAGAGAGAAAAATTAAGCAGCATCAGAGTGTCTTTAAGCAGAGCAAGTGATGGGGGTGGGGTAGTTTAAACCGAGCTCAGAGAGAACCTCTTTGAGGAGGTGATTTGAGAGACCTGGATGACATGAGGAGGAGCCTATGCCAGACCCTGGGAAGAATACAGTGAGGAGCAGTGAAGCCTGGGGTGGGGGTGCTTGGTGTCTTCAGAGAAGGGCAGAGGCCAGTGGCTGGGGTGCAGGGCAGCAGAGAGCCACGGGAGGAGGGGCAGAGGCATGGTCGGAGGGCTCTGAAGCCCCCGGGAAGGGCTCTGTGTTGTATTCTGAATATGACTGAAGCCATGGGGCTTTGAGGAACCTCAGAGACTTCTTAAACCCATTGCTCATCACTGAGCACCCAGAGGAGCATTGGCAGTGGCCGGGAAGGCGGGGGTGAAAGTGACGAGAACTCAAGGTTAGGTTAGGACGTCACTCCTAAATGCTAGCTCCTCCGTGCTCCGTCAGAAGGTGTTCACTTTATTGAACTCGCTTTATTAAATCACTGCATGTCTCTGTAAGTCTTTAACCTCTGTCGCCTCCTTACAACACAGTCTTGCTCATCCTCCCCAGCCTCCACGCAGGCCTGCGGACCTGCTGTCCAGTAGGTGCCTATGCAGTGTGGAGTGAAGGAATGAGGCTGGTGATGTTGGCCCGGTGATGATGAGCGTGAATTCTGGAGTCAGGTGTCCTGGGTTTGAGTCCTGCACCGTGGAGCTGTGTAATGTTCTGGCAGCCGGCCTGGCCTTGAGCCCGGCAATGGAGTCACACAGTGCTGCCTGTGGGGAGGGCTCAGCAAGTAACCGGGGCGCTGAGACGTGGTTCCCGAGGGGCACGCAATGCTCACAATCAGAATGAGGCCATGTCAGGAGGCAGCACTGTACTGTCATGGAGTTTGTTACAGCAAGTTTTGAGTAAATTAAAATAACTGTCCAAACCTGTGAACTCATGTATTCCATGTTTTCATTTAATTTCTAAAGAAGTGGTGCATAGCCCTGGCCGGTTTGGCTCAGTGGGTAGAGCGTCCGCCTGTGGTCCAGAGAGACCCAGGTTCGGTTCCCGCTAAGGGCACGTACCTCAGTTACAGTCTGTCTCCAGCCCTGGTTGGGTCGTGCGGGTGGCAGCCACTCGATGTGTCCCTTTCATGTCGATGTTTCTTTCTCTCTCCCTCCCCTCTATCTGAACAAAATATGGAAAAGTGTCCTCGGGTGAGGATAAAAAAAATACAATAATAAATAAATAAAAGAAAGTGGGTTGCAAAAAAATGTGAATTAAAAAAAAAAAAAGATAAAGCCCTGGCCAGTTTGGCTCAGCGGTTAGAGCGTCGGCCTGCGGTCCGGAGAGACCCGGGTTCGGTTCCCGCTAAGGGCACGTACTTCGGTTGCAGTTTGTCCCCGGCCCTGGTTGGTCGTGCGGGTGGCAGCCACTCGATGTGTCCCTTCACGTCGATGTTTCTCTCTCTCTCTCCCTTCCTCTCTCTCCCTCCCACTCTATCTGTACAAAAAATGGAAAAATATCCTCGGGTGAGGATAAAAAAAAAAAAAAAAAAAAAGATAAAAAAAGAAGTGGTGCATAGCTAGCAACCGGGCCCTATGGGTGGGCGCCTCCCTCCCACGGGTTCTCCCGCATTTCACTGACTCTCAATAAACTGTTTTTCTACTTCTGTTCCCTACAGAGAACCTAAAATAAAAATCCCCCATCTTGACCTTTCTGTTTGGCCAAATCTGTGGCTTCTCCCGGCCCTGTCCCACGTCCCCTGAGTGCTCAGGCTGAGCGTCTGGGGAGGTGTCTGCCGTCCCAGGTCTGTGCGGCCTTGGCTTTCCGACAGCATTCCATGGAAGACTCCAGAGAGTGGGACGAAGAATGTGCGTCTGTCTGTTCTATTCCTGTCCCCACTGCCTTTCCAGTCAAGGGCAGGCCGAGTTGCTACTGGCCGCCGAGTCCCACACACAGGCCGGGGGAGAGGGTGTCCCACCAGGGATACGTCAGGATCAGCCCCAGAGCACAAGGTTGGAGGGACTGTTCAGAGAACAGCGGCACTTTCCATACCAGCAGGTGTGCACTGCACAACCTCAGATGAAGATAGTTTCCTTGGGCTTTGGTGTCCATAACCAACATGCATTAGAAATGTCCCATCATCCTATAGTTACAACATTGAGCTCGTGGGCTCAGGCAAAGACGAGTCCTCACTCTCGCCAGAGGAGCTCCTGCGAACCCAGGCCCGGTTCTGGGCGTGCTGGCAGGCTGTGAATCCGAACCCCCTAGGCCATTTAGAGCACAGAGTAAGGGGAACCCCAGGCAGGCAGACAGCAACTGCACGGTGAACTTCACCCCCGGGAGAGCACGCATGCCCCTTAGTCTGCAAACAGGGATACGGAGCCGCTTCTGCTCAGTGCTGACAGGGTCCAACTTGCTGGGCACATGGATGAACACAAACACCCTACCTCCTGATCGTAGCTTCAGGAAGTTCTCTCCAGAGTCTAGACCTTTAAATAAGGCTGAGCTATTTCCATGATAGGTCGTCCTGACGATGAGGTCAGAGGGGAGACTGCTGGATTTCCTTCTGGAGTCTTCTGGAACAGGAATGGGGCATCTGCCCACAGTGCTTCAGGGCAACCCTCTGGGCCACACCCCCGGGTGACCTGCTTGTGACCTGCAGGCTGTGATCTGGGAGGGACTGGCTGAGTCCCCAGACATCAGCCTCTCTGACCGGGGTCCCTGCTTCTCTCCAGTCTCGGAAGGACCCCACCCACCCACGTCAGCAAAATCACCTTAGAACCCATTGTTCTTTCTTCTTATACCATGTTTATGGATGATACATTTCCTAAGTTTATTCCTTGCTGGGCAAAGTGACTTTTAGTGTCTGTTTCTCAATGTCTTGTTGAAAGGACTCCTCTGTGTCCAAGCATTTGGGGGCTTGGGCACGCGTCTGGGTCTGCCGTCCGCACACTGGTCATGACTTACAGGCTCTCCATCCCTTCCAGTCCCAGATCCCTGGACAAGAGAGACCCAGAGCCGAAAGGCCAAGACTGCGGGGCCACCGCTGCCTCCGGTGTGGCCCCTCATCACCCAGGCTCCCAGAGCTTCGGTTTGTCTTTCCTTAGAAAGGTATTTATAAAACACAAGGAAAAGTGCAGAAAACAACAGAGCCCAGTCACCAGGCATCGTGACTGTAGCAACAACAGCTTTTATGGACACACCGGTTCCTAAACCCCTTCTAGGCTCGATATGCCATTGGGGCTCAAAGTCACGAATTTGCTCCATCAGGGTAAAATGCACATTTAATTTTACAGACAATTTCCGAGGGGGTTGGGGAACCTACCTTATCCTTGTGTTGGTTTTTTTTTTTTGCAAATCACTCTCACCACGTTTTAATTTTGACCTTCACACGTGACCCTCCTGCTGGGCTGATTTTCAGAGGCAAGTGGGCAGTGAGTGACACCGCTCAGTACAGCACAACTTGGCACCCACGACCTCCCCACTGCAGGCCTGGGCCTCTGTTGTCTGCGGGGCCATCCCCACGGCGACTAGGAAGCCCCTGCAAGCCCAGGCCCTTCCTGTGTTCAGAGCTTCTAAGGCTCGGCATGGCGGGTCCTGTCTGAGAGCCGGTGGCCCTACACAGCACTGCAGCCCAGCCCAGGTCCGCAGGGAGGGGGCCTCACCCAAGGTGGACGCTCCGGATGTGCTTCTGGATGCCAGCTGCGGTGCTCAGCACCTTCCCACAGTTCTTCCAGACGCACTTGAACATCACCTTCATGGAGTTCTAGAAAGGGGAGAGGACGGTACGGCAAATGAAAACGAGCCGATCAATGTCACCTTTGGGCATCCCAACACACCTTTCCCTCCCTTCTAGCCAAAGCACATACGGCCTCACAGCGCCAACAGACAGATCCGCACACTGGGAGTGCTTTCTGCCCATTTCTCGGATGACAAAGCTGTACTGTTCAAAACTGCCTGCACCGCTCCGCGCCTGGAGGTGGGCCTTGAGTGGCAGTGGGCTCCCGCCTGTGGGTCTCAGGCTGGGAGACAGGCGGCTACGGACACCCCCAGTTTCCTTTCTACCTGGCCACAGGTGGGCGTGGCCACATTTATCCTCGGAAAACTACCATTTCTGGTGGTATTTCCAGAGCTTTGGTAACCCTGTGGGTTCTGAGCCCCCTCTCTTTTCTTGTCTCTTCAGGCTTAGGGGTGGTAACGGCCTTGCCCTGTGGTTAGCCCCTGGGAGCCCACATCACCCCTTTGGGTTCCCCAGCACTGTCTACACATTTGTAGAGAGCTTATTCATCAAACGCTTACAATTTCTTTTTTTTAAATTTATTGATTTGAGAGAGAGAGAGAGAGAAACTCTGATTTCCTGTTCCACCCATCCATACATCCATTGGTTGATTCTGTATGTGCCCCAGACCAGGGATTGAACCTGAAATCTTGGCGTTCAGGACAACGCTCTAACCAACTGAGCTACCCTAGGCCATCAAACTCTTTTTAATTACCCCTCTGAGTATATCACCTGCTTCCTGCCAAAACCTGATGGATATGGGGGGAAAGGAGGTTATAAAAGAATATGAACAATATGATCTTTTTTGGGAGGAGGTATGTAATGCAAATAAACATGTATTCCTGCATGGTGGGAACATGGGGAGGAGGGTGGGTATCTTATTTTGACATTAATTTCCAACTGTAAAAATTACTCTATTTTTAATTTTAAAAAGGTATTTCTTTAAAACTGGAAGTCGCCCTATAATATGTGCATGACTAATTCTGGAGAATTAAAAACACATTAGTGGGATTAGTTCAACTTCAATGAAATCAAGGGTTTTCTCGGTACATACATAGGTGATGTTCTGCATCCAATCAAGAGGCCCCTTAAATGGTGAAGCGCTTGTCAAAGTCCCCTAACTACCTCCAACAAAAACGAGTCCTTGTGCACAAACAGGTGATTAGCTCTGAGGAAAGCCAGCCTGGGAGGAGGAGATGGGAGAAAACAGCTACATAAACACCACCCAGCTTGCCCCACGGGCCCAAGCTCAGCCCAGGAAGCCAAACCAAGCACAACTGCGGGCAGAATCGCAGCCGCCAAGTCTGACCGCGACCATCTGTGCCTCAGCCCGGCTTCTCCTGGCAGCTCCACTGAGGTTCACGAGGCTGAAGGTCCTAGCTGCTGGGAGGCCACCGTGGCTGGGACCGGCCTGTGCTGGGGCTCCCACGAGCGTGCCTGGTCTGACGCTCCTGGCTGACGAGGACTCGGGCCCAGCGTGCGGTTCCAGGCACCCTCTGCAGAACCACCCAGCTCTGGGGCTGCGGCCCAGGACCTGGAGGTTCTCCATCTGTGCAGAAGCTTCTGGACCATCTCTGACACCAGCTGCCGTGGGGGCTACAGGCTGAGGTCTCAGCCCTGGCTGGCCTCGCCATCTCTCTCAGGGCAAGCCTCGGCCCTGGTGTGAATTAGTGCTGACTCAGGGTTCGAGTGGCTTCTCCTCTCCTGAGAGAACCCAGACAGAGGCACAGGACTAACAAAACGCCTGCTAACCGGCATCTCAGTTCCGGGGGTGGGGGATCACAGCTGCATCTTTTGTTTTATTTTTTTTATCCTTACCCGAGGACATTTTTCGATATTTTGTTCAGATAGAGTGAGTGGGAGAGAGAGAGAGAGAGAGAGAAACATCGACGTGAAAGCGACACATTGAGTGGTTGCCACCCACACGACCAACCAGGGCTGGGGACAAACTGCAACCGAGGTACGTGCCCTTAGCGGGAACCGAACCCGGGTCTCTTGGGACCGCAGGCCGACGCTCTAACCGCTGAGCCAAACAGGCCAGGGCTCACAGCTGCATCTTGAAGTATCTCATGCCCTGGGACAAGTCCAAGTAAAGCTACATTCCAGAACTCACTTAACTGTCCATTTTACCACACAGCACCCTGGGGGTGATACCAAGGTGTCTTTTCTGAGGAAAATGAGAAGATCCTCAGGTATATATGTCTATATGGCCATTAGGTTGTGTATGTGTGTGTATAAGTATGTATGCATGTGGGTTGGGATGGAGACTCACACCCAAGCTCCCTAAGAGGACCATGGTTCACTAAGGAAGCTCGCGAGCAGCCAGTTATCCGCACAGGTGAGTCTGCTCAGCCGGCCTCAGGTGGGAGAAACCCACACGGCTTGGCAGAGGCTCTAATGACCTCTCAGGATCCAAAGGTCCACTCAGACCCTCAGCAGGTTCCAAAAGACTGGGAAGTGAACAGCCAGACATATGTCATAAATCAGTAAGTGCCTAGAGGCTGACGGGGCTCCCAGTCCTGTCCTTCACTGGGGAAGCAGCCTGGTTCATGTCCTCTTCACCACTTCGGGGCTTTCTTTATTCGCAAAACAGGAAGACTGAGGTGTGAGAGGTTAATGCAAAGTGATGGGTGAATTCAAACGTATACCAAGTATTGATGAAACATCTCCCACCTACATGCCCTGTTTATAGATGCTGTAGTGATAAATATAATGAAATAAAATAAATAAAATAAAATAAATGATTTTCGTAAATGGGATAATACAGAATGTATTCTGTAGTGTCTGGCTTCTTTACCTCAGCATAATGATTTTTGTTAATCCTCACCCAAGGATATTTTTTTCCATTGATTTTTTTTTTTTTTCCATTGAAGGGAGGGTGAGAGGGGGAGAAAGAGAGGGAGAGAAACATCATTGATTAATTATCTCCTACACATGCCTCGGCCAGGGCTGGGGATTGAACCTGCAACCCAGGTATGTGCCCTTGACCGGGGATCGAACAAGAGACCCTTCAGTGCAAGGGCCAACACTCTAACCACTGAGCCACAGCAATATGATTTTGAGCTTCACTCAATTGTTTTGTTTATTGGGTTCGTTGCCATCCACTGGGGGGTGGTATCCCATTGAAGAAATATGCCACAATTTGTTTCTCCATTTCCCTGTTTATGGACATTTGGGTTGTTTCCAGATTAGGGTGATAATAAAAACAACTGCTATGAACATTTGTCTACAAGTCTTTCTGTGGACACAGGCTTTCTTATCTCTTAGGTAAATATTCTAGGAGTGAAACTGCTGGGTCAGATGGTAAGTGTAGCTTTGACTCTATAAGAAACTGCAAAACTGTTTTATGAAGTGGTTGCACCATTTTACATTCCCACCAGCAATACATAAGTTGCCAACACTTGGAATTTTGTACACCCAAAAGTGCATGCTGTATTATTCCATTTAGTTTCAGTTCTACAACATGCAAAATCAATGTCTCGTTGGCTCAGTGGCCGCCTGTTTGCGGGCGTGGGAGTGTCTGACTGCAGAGAGTCACCAGGGGTTCTGGTCTCGATTAGAGTGGTCGTTCCCCAGGTGGGGAAACTCATCAAGACTCACTGAACTGTATATTTGAAATGGGTTCATTTTATTGTGTGGAAATTATATCTAGATAAAGTTGATTTTAAATGACTTCTGTAACAACAAAAGCATCCTTGAATTAATACAAACCCCTAGTGAATATGTGGTTTCTGAATCAGTGGATTCTAAGAGTGCCTCTCATCTTTGGGGACGTCCGTCCATTTCTAGACATCATCAAACAGTCTTGTGATGTGCTGAAGCTGAGCCCGGGCTGGGTGACTTCTGGTCGTCCGTAAGCTCCGATCCCACATACTGCCAGGGTGGCAGGTTATTCTGCGATGCTGCCACCAAATTACTCAGATCTCACTCCAGACCCTGATCCTCCCCTGCTCAGGCCGGCAGTGCAGTGACGTCACTGTGACATCCACGCGATGTGACCTAGCTGCTTTCTTAGCACCGCGCCCCGCCCCTGCAGTCCCGCCCGATGGGCCTATTTCTGGAGCCACGGATTTTCCCGCACAAGGCCCTGTGCTCAGGGGTGCTGAGGAATGAGGTCAGCACCGAGATGGGCGCTGCCTGTGTGTGAGGGCCTTGAGGTTCTGTGGGCTTTCAGAGCCGTCATTCATGGTTGAGAGTGAGTCATGATTTCTGGGCCAGAAAGACAGACCAGGGTTAGTTCACGGTTTACCCCTGAACAGCTGTTACATGAACTTGGCCCTTTTTTCTCTGTCTTGAGGATCTCCCATAGGTAAAGTGGCCCACGGTCCCGACACCTGGGAAAGAAGTTGGTTTCCTCCTATGGACGCCACCTTTCATTTTTATTTTATTTTTTTTTATTCCTCACCCGAGGATATTTCTCTACTTATTATCAGATAGAGTGGGAGAGAAACATTGATGTGATAGAGCCACATCGACTGGTTGCCTCCCACACGACCCAACCAGGGCTGGGGATGAACCACAACTGAGGTACATGCCCTTGACGGGAATCGAACCTGAGACTCATTGGTCCGCGGGCTGACACTCTAACCACTCAACCACACCGGCCAGGGCTGGATGCCGCCTTTCAGAACATCGGCAGTAATGCAGAGGCAGTCACCGAAATTCCAGGCTTCATCATTGTCACTTCTTTCCCAGGTGTTGGCATTGCTGCCCTCACCCCTCACCAGATGGTGAGCTGGGCTCTCCATTTACCCCAAATAAAGCCAAGGTGGCTGAGGGGTCCTGGGTGTCCTGAAATGGTCAAGGTGGGGTCAGGATGGAGGAGGGAGGGAAGCACTCCCTCTCTCTACACCACAATTCTCACACTTCCATTCAGTCAGGTGTCAATTGCAAAATATGAGCAGCCAGCATTTACTGTTCATAGAATCCTCACAGAAACCCCATCAAGGTGGTGTTATCATGACCCATTTTTTTTTTTTTTTTTGGTACATGCCTTTAGTGGGAACCGAACCCGGGACTGTCTGGTCCGCAGTCTGATGATCCAACTGCTGAGCCAAACCAGCCAGGGCTCATGACCCACATTTTACAGAGAGCAAACGGAGGCTTAAGAGAGGTCAAGTGACTTGCTTAGGATCACATAAGTATTGGAGCTGGGGTGCTAAATCCCAATCTTGAACCTGTTTGATCCTATTCAGGAATGGACAAATCCAGAATCTTATATGGGAAAAAAGCCATTAATAATTAGTTATCAGCATGTCTTAATTTTCTGGAGAACCCCTGGGATTGGTGCTTAACTCTGGGCCCTAAGAGTTTTTCTTCCCAACTCCTGGAGTGGCTGTATCTAGGGTCACTGCAGCCCCTTGTGGTCATGACAGGTACTGCACCTTCCCCCCAGTCCCAGCGTCCTGCTCACACTACCAGGGAAGTACCTTCAGCCCCTCTGAAATCCCAGAGGGAAGATTCTGCTATAACTGGGAAGGACAAAGTTGGCTGGTTGATTTCCAGAGCTGGGAGAAACCCTTTCATTTCCCTTTCTAGCATTCCCACCCACCTTGGCTGAAGGTCATCTTAAGTGATGGGTGCTTCATGCAAGAAGCTGGGTCCCTGCAGACCGCCTGCAGTCCCCTTTGCTGCCATCATTTCCTCCCCAACCCTATACACCCCCCTCCCATCCTGCCAGGTAACGTTGGCTTATGCTGCCTCTGAGTCTTTTCTCTCCACCTGAGTCTCCTCTGCAGGCAGAGGGAAGGTGGATGCTTTGAATTAATTTGCCTCCTCAAGTTTCCTCTTTGCAATTTCAGCTGAGCTGATCTTACCTCTGCCACATTAGGAACTACAGGACCTGGGGCAAGTCACCTCTTCTGCAAAATGGGGATGTGGATATGCCAATTATTTTTGTGATGATTAAATAAAATGCTGCATTTAAGCGCATTTCAAAAACTGTAACTCAGTATGCAAAAGTAGTTATTAGCAAATGCTTCTTCTTCACTACCTATAGTAAGAGATGATGGCTGGTCTAGGGGGCATCTCACACTCTCTTCCCCTTGACATAAGTGGAACCTGGATCATAGAGGATGTGGGGGTGAGGTGTCCATGGTGGGGGTGGGCAGGAGAGATGAGACCTTCCATATTCAGGCGGAGGATTGTGCTCAGGGCTTTATCATCAGATCCAGGGGATGCCACCTCTCCTTTTGTAAGGGCCCTGATGTGTCTATTACAATGTTGGTACATTCTAGTAGGTGTACCCTTTCTACTTATCATCACTTTCAATCTTCTCGGTTGTCTGGAGAGAGGGTTGATAATACCTGTTTGCTTGTGTTACAGATGAAGAAGCTGATGTTCAGAGAAGAGAAATGATTTTCTTAAGTTCAAAGGGTAGTCAAGTTGAGTTAGAATGGGGCTCCTTTGATTTCTGCTGAGGGTCCCTTCCTTTCCCACAGATCATGTTATCTCTGTATGACACAGAAGAGGGGCTTCCGAGCTTTTTGCCCATGAGCCACAGTAAGGGATCCCTTATGCACAGCACATACACGAGCGTACAAATGAAACAGAAGCACCAAGAAACAATACCCTGATCACGTACAACCCACCACATTCTGTCCAGTTCAATAATGAAGTGCTGTTTATTCACAGCTCATTAAATTGCTTTCATCAGAGCACTGTGCAAGCATGGGGTTCTTGCACTGTGAGTCCTTGCCACCACGCTGGGCCATATCTGATGACAGCCAGGGCCACACACCCTGATGACCCAGAAAGTCTGTGCAGCCTGAAGCAACAGACGACCCTTCAGGTCCCCATGGCTATCTTACCTGCAGGTTCCCACTGATACAAGTGCCAGTCTCTTTCCCTGACTAGTCAAACACCTAATGTCCCTGGTGACCCATAGGGCAATGAACAAATCCAGCCCTTTGCCTGACTGGTGTGTGGAGCAGCAATTTTCCCACACCACCTCCGGGAAGGGCAGGAGCCTCCTCTACCCCCGTTCTCTGGGTAGAGAGAGCCCATGCAGCCTTCACAGTTACACATGCGGAGTGATGCTAGCAGAGATGGAGGGAGGGACGGTGTTGGATCAATGCCATCTCTTTGTTTTCCTCTTTAAAATAAATTGGAAGAAAAAAGGTTGCATTGCAGTCCCTAGGGTTCTGCTTCAGATTTTTGTTTGTGAATAATGACTCATAATGAAGACACCAATAACAACGTAAAGAACCAATATATAAAGTAACAGTATCACATTGACATGGCCATTTAAAAAATAATGTTAAAATGTCTACTGGATGTAGCTGCTGCTACATTCTTTATTCTTTATTCAATAAATTGCTTTATTCTATGAAGTGGAGATGGTTTTGAAAAATTGTGAGTGGGCATGATAATGTACACATACATGAAGAGAATGAAAGGAATATGAGCTTTAGGTTCAGGCAGGGACCTGGGTATGAGTGGCCCTTCTAACCTGCAGGACAGAGCAAGTTCCACTTCTAATCTCCATGATAAAAGGTCAGTTGTCAAACCCAAGAAAGTCATTTTCCACCCAGCAACCAGAGTGAGCTTTTCGAAAAGCAAATCTCATAGCATCACCCCAGTCCACTTGAAACACCTCAGCGCTCCTGGGGGCCTGTTCCCTGTCCAAGTGCACACCAGGCTGAGCCTTTCTGCTCCCACCAAATTGGGAATGATACTCTCCAGATAGGCCAGCTGTGAGGATTAAATCAACGTGTAATCAATGTATTAAATCAATGCATTCGAGTTCCTTTTTCACTTTTGCTGTAGTAAGTATATAATTTTGGTCTGTAAGTACGTAGTACATACATTTGTGTCAGGTTTCATGTTTTATAAAACCGGTTTTATAAAAATAAGATGCAAAACATTCTTCCAATATGTTTTTTGAAGCAGGAAATAGAAACGAATATTAGTTTTATTTTACAGGTGAGAAAACGAAGTCCCAGTAAGTGAGTGGGTTAACTACCAATCCAAGCCTGATGCCCACTTTCGTAGCTTCCAAACCCTTGGAAACCCTGGGGCACCTTTGTCAACTCTGACACCAGGCAGCAAGTTAACCCAGAGAGGGTAGTGGGGGGCATGCGTGCTGGCAAGACACGGTGTCCACACTTAGTGGTTCTGTCTTTGATCAGGACCCTGGATTTACCCCCGAACGTCAAAGACCAGGAGCGGCGCAGAGGCTGACCTTTCTTTTCCTGGGGATGGGCTCGTCGAAGAGCAGGCTGCCGGCCTCGGCCTCATCGATGCCGTCGTCGGGCGCGGGGCTGCGGAAGGGCTTGGCGCAGTCGGCGGACAGCGGCGGCGACGGCGTGGACGGGTTGGACTGGTCGCTGGGGGCGCTCCAGCTCCAGTAGCCGCTGCTGCAGCTGCTGGACGGGGCGCCGCCCTCCTTCCAGGATCCGCTCAGGCCCTCTGCGATCCAGACAACCAGCGTCAACAACGCCAGAAGCCGGCACGCAGGGGCCCGGTAAGCGCGGGGTCCGGCCTGGATCCCACCACAGCACCTGCAGCCCACCCAGAAATGTGCAACAGCTGGGGGTGCACTACGCATACCTCGGAAAAAAAAGTTGCATTATCCTTTATAAACACTGAGCTGTTTTAATCACGTGACAGGTTTTCCTAACAGTTTTCTGATGTGGGTGGTTTTGTGCAGGTGGTTCCTTTGGTTGAGAGTGGAGATGATATGAAAACAAGAAAAAGGTGTCCTCCTTCACTAAGTTTGGGGAACTCTAAGTTTATTGATTGTTTCTGAGAGGGAAATTCTTTGCAATATTGTCCCCCTCCCTGACACCCTATTTTCACTTTTTAAAAAAACCCTTACCTGAGGATACTTTTCCATTGATTTTTTTTTTTTTTTTAGACAGAGTAGGGGAGAGGGAGGGAGAGAAAGAGGGAGAGAGGGAAACACGATGTGAGAGAGACACATCCATTGGTTGCCTCCTGCATGACCCTGAGGCCGGGGATTGATCCTGCAACCGAGGTACATGCCCTTGACTGGGAATCGAACTCATAACACTTTGGTCTAAGGGCTGATGCTCTAACTGCTGAGCCAAACTGGTGAGGGCTATTTTAACTTACTATTTTTTTTTAATCCTCACCCAAAGACATTTTTGCATTTTTATCTTCAGATAGAGTGGGAGGGAAAGAGGGAGGAAGAGAGAGAAACATCGATGTGAGAGAGACACATCGAGTGATTGCCACCCACATGATCCCAACAGGGGCTGGGGACAAACTGCAACAGAGGCACAGGCCCTGAGTGGAAATCGAACCCAGGACTCTCTGGTCTGTGGGCCTATACTCTAACCGCTGGGCCAAACCAGCCAGGGCTATTTTAACTTTTTAAAAAGGAATTTCTCATAGCTGTGAGAGCTTTGGAATAGGTTTATGTAAAAAGTTGGTCCAAGATAGAAGAATCTCTAATAGAAAAAATAATTTCTGGATAGTTACTTAAGTCATTGACCTCATTATAAGAAAGAACAGAGCCTTGCATTGGGTATTGTCCATTTCACATAGCTCGTTCACACATCACATGCATTCTCACATCTGTCTATCAGATCAAGGGCTGTCATGCGGGGTTTACAGATGAGGACCTGAGGCGTAACCAGTAAGTGAACCAGGGCCCAAACCCCGGTCTACCAGTTGGCCTTCTTTCTCCTTCAGTGTTTGGATGTGTCCTGTGTTGTAGGAATCCTTCTCTGCAACAAAGCTGAGATCAGAGAAGAATTTATTGGTCATAATTACTGATAAGGTGGCTGTTGGACTTTACCTTTCCACTTGTGGGGGAAACATGAAATGTTTGCTAATGTGGAAAGATCTTCACCCAGTTAGAATGCCTTTGGGAAGGCTGTTTTAATTATTGAAGACTACTTTCCCTTGTAAGATGCCCAATTTTAATTAGCTTTTGTACAAACCTGACCTTCTTTTTGGATAATTTCTCCTCTATATTTCTGTGCGTTTTGAATATATTAAAACTAAATTCTAAGTACAAGGGGGGGGGGGGAATCCCAAAATGCCTCATTAAAGAAATACTGTTAACATCTGTGTAATTAGTAATGAAGTGAATACACACAGTGGACAAGTCTTCATGGAAAATGTCTTGACTACCTTCACCCAATTATAGGTTTCCGGCCTATTTCTCAACTATGTCAAGCAAAAAGTTCAGTTAGAGGAATGCAGTTTTAAGTTAAAATCGCAGAAGAACGTTACCCCTCTTATTAAGGCGAGGCTCTAACCCAATCAAATGCCATTTCTGCGGGATCACGCCTTTCAGGCCCCAACAAAACCAAGTTAGCATCTCAGTCCTTGCAGTCTACCGGTGACAGATGTACTCACAGACAGGAGTGGCCTTTTATAAATAAGACAGCTGCATTCAATGCAACAGGACCCCAAGAGCCTAATGTAAGGCCTTCGGTAGTACTACCTGGTGTGACAGACACCTTGGCAGGCTCAGGAGGCTTATGAGTGCACCACAGCATGCACTTGTAAGATAAACTAAGTTAGTGGTGCTGGCTGTGTAATCATGTTAAGTATGAGGAACTGAATTTATTCTGAAAAGCAGTGTGGTTGCATAGCTTCATGTCAATGCCCAAAGTGAATTTGCTTACTTGGCAATGCATTTCCTTTAAGAGAAACACTATTTAATGAGAAAGACAATGTGATATAGAAATGATTTTTTCAGAAAAAAACTTTTGTAATATATTTTATCAGTTTGTAATATATCGATGACAGTGTCTCCTTATCTTAAACATGTTTTGGGCAAAAATGCAGACAGGCCTGGCTGGAATCTCACCCTTTGCAGAGCCACTTCCCGACACAATGATCCTTCCCAGGCACACAAAGAATCACAACAGTTCTCAAAAATTCACTGATAATTAATAATTCTGGATCTAATATGTGTTTCTTACAAAAAACCAATGACTTCATTATCATTAACTGCTTTCCCTTGCTAAGAATTTGCTGCCTGTTGCAGATTTAATAAGATATCAGACAATTTGGGATTATGAGTTGGGTAGTAATTTTTTAAAAACAATCACAGTGAACGGTGAATTACTTTCTTTATAACTGTGCTAACAAAAGTTTGCACTGAAGAAGCAAAGGGTTTATTTTGAGTCTAACCTTTCAAGACAAAGGAACATTAAAAACGTTCTCAGTTCAAAAAGAATGCCATGTAAAAATAATGATTTCATTAAAATATACTCTTTCTCCTCTGAGGACTCTATGAAATTTTGCAATTCCTTTTGGGGGGGGGGGGTAGAGCAATGAAAAGCTACAATTTATTTATTTGCATTTGGTGGCCCAGCTTGGGACAAAGTCACCTTGAAGATTTTTTTTTTCTCTGTTAACTTTTCCATCTGTTATGCGATTCCCCTTTCCTAGGTCTGGTTTTGGGGGTATCTTCAGGTTTGCTTTCGCTGCCATCTTTCTTTAGTGGCACCGAGCAAAGTGAACCAGGATGCTTGGTAAAGAGGCTCTGAGAAGAGAGGTCATGTCATTCAACAGCCACGGTCAAGCTCATCTTTCAATCACCTCACCTGCTCTAGGTAATAAGGTGGTGTCACCCTGCTGGCCTGTGGTGGTCATGATGGGGGTAGGACACTACTGAGTTACGGTATTGATTTAACTTCCCAGCACCTTGATCATTCTTTCCACCTACAGTTGGAGTGGGGTACGTTTTGGTGAGTACTCACTGGATGTTCAACAAATTTATTTTCACACCTCACGCTACCACCAAGTTACTTGTGAACCATACCTCAGTCTCCTAACGGACTAGGCTGGCTTTTGAGAGAAGTCGTTCCCTTACTGGTAACCTTCACTCCGTGGGTCTCACTGCATTACACTCAGTCCCCTGCAGCCTGACTCCCGCCCACGGGTGGTCTACCGTGAATGCTCTGGCCAGATCTCCAGGGACCTTCGTCTTGATGCAGAATTCAGTGTGTTTCATATTGAGCTTCTGAAGCATCAGACACCTGTCCTTGAAACTCGCTTTCCCCTTCGCTTCCATGAAACCGCACTCTCCTAGCTCTCTTTTCTACCTCCGGCCACCCCCAGGCTCTTCCTGGGTTCTTTTCCCTCTGCTGACCCCTTAAGAGGCTGGTAGGTATCACCCGTTCCCCTCCGTTCCCTCCCAGTCTTTGCTCACTGCCTCCATACGACTCTGTCTGCAATCTCCTCTCCTCTCCTGGCTTCTAAACGCTGCCTTCCAGTTCTGCATGGGCAGCCCAGGCCTCCCCCAGACACTGCCCTTGAATGAGCCTCCGTACTGCCCACTACACACGCTTCGCACTGGATTTATCTCCTTCGCCGATGGCTCCAGATCCTGCCCCAAACTCTCACCAACAGACGTGTGCTCTGCCCTGGCTGCCATCTCAGGGAGCGGGTCTCCTTGGCAAAGCACTGGCTGCCTGGAAGTGCTCCTGCCACCCCCTCTCCTTCATCCTCTTTGTCCGCCACCAAGTCCTGTCAATTCTACCTTCTTCCCGTTTCTCAGTTATGTCCTATCCATCCCCTCTGTGACCACCAAGACTCAGGACACTCACGTGGTTTTTTGTTTGTTTGTTTCTTTTTTTGTTTTCACCTGTAAATCCAATTGTAATTTTCCAGTGCCGAAATCACCTGATAGCTCTCCTGCAGCCTCAGGTGAATGTCCACAGTCCTAGCCAGTTCTCCAACTTCATCTCCTACTGCCTTCCTGATTTCTCATAGCGCATTATGTGAGTCCACATTATGTCATGACTAAGATAACAGATCTGGAATCAGGAAGGTATAGGAGAGAATCCAGCTTTGCTATTTACAAGCCAATTAATCCCCATGTGCCTCTGTTTACTCATCTGTAAAACAGTGATAACGACAGCTCACAGAGTTGTGAGAATTACATGAGATAAAGCAAGCCTAGTACTTGGCACATAGCAAGTGCTCAGTAAATGCTAGCCATTGATATGGCTAGGATTGAGAGTCTTCTTCCCCCCAAAGAGACTGAACACTACATGGGAGCATGACATTGTTTTCAATGATGTACTCAAACCATCTAGCATAGTAACTAATAAATATATATTGAGTGAATGAATGGAGTAATAATTGTATTTGATTGAGGAGTTTGGAATAATGCTTTTTCAAAATATTTAATCTTTTGAGTACTTTGATCCTACTACCTCTCCTGTCCAACAGAAATAATGCTGGGACAATGGTTTCTTTAGACCAATCTCCATTTACCGGGGAAAAGGGACCAAGTACTGCAGATAAGTGTCCTGGCAAAGTGATTGTGCATGGACAGGTGGAGGGATGAATGAGGTGCGCTGGGGTCTCTGGGAAGGTGAGGAAGCCGGTGGCCCTGAGGTCTCTATTTCTCCCACATCTCCTCTGGCTTCCTGCTCAGTGAGAGTTAATTGTTCTTTTCATTTGACAGGAATGAGATCCCTGTGAGACCTCTCAAAGGGAGGTTGTGCTCTTGGTGCCCAGGGGCCCTTCCCTACACCTGTCCCCGGGGCTCACCGTTCGGCCGCACAGGAGGGCTGCGGACCAGAGGGCTGGTAGACAGGCTGGTGAGTACCATTGCTGCCGTCACCTTGTCCATGTCCAGTTCCTCCGAGGATTTCCTGGAAAACAGCGAGGGACACTGTTAATGATGCTCACCCCGCATGGTCTGTGGGCCATGCCACATACCACGCGTGTACTCCAAACTTATCCCCTTGAAAATCCAATGTTTTAAAAATTTTATTGTAGAGATAAGGAAGCTGAAGTCCAGCAGTTAACAGACCCTGTCAAAACCCTAGAGTATTAAGAAGAGAAACATTCATCCACTGGCTGTTCATCTAAGGCATGTTTATTGAGCATATATTACACACTGCTGTTGGACATGGTGGTGGTGGTGGAGAAGGACAGACGAGGCTGGTGGGGAGAAACACAATGATCAGGAAACAAACAAAAAGGGGCACATGTTAGGAAGGGCGTCGAAGGGCTGCCGTGACAGTGCCTGTGGTCAGGAAAGGCTTCTCTGAGGCGGTGACGTGACGTGTGAGGGGGAGGGGCAGGCAGGTAATTGTTTTAAAAAATAATTATCGAGCTGCTCTCTGGAGAACGGACTGGAGGGGAGTGGAGCAGAGGCAGGGAGACCAGGGAGAAGAGGACGGCTGGGAGCCAAGACAAGAGGGACTGGTGGCTGGGACGAGGGTCGGGGCAGTGGCAGGTGACCTGGCAGGACTGGCTGAGACTCTGGGTGTGAGATGAGTGAAAGGGGTGACCCAGGATGGCTCCCAGGTGCTGAACGTTAACCAGAGCCATCATGGAGAGAGACGGGAGGGAAGGGGGGCAACGAGCTGCTCGCCTGCACTTTGCAGGAGGGCATAGGTCAGAGCTGCAGAGACCCTGTCGTAAAGTGAGGACGGTGTCGTAAAGTGAAGACGGTGTTGTAGTGAAGACGGTGTCGTAAAGTGATGCCCGTGTCCTGAAGAAGTGAAGACCACTACCATCAGTCACTAAGACAGACAGGTTACTTGGCTTGTGGATTTTGGCTGGTTAACCCCGAATAAAAGCTCATAAGATAATGATCATTGTGGACAGGAGTTGGCTTGCTTAGGCTGATTACAAGAAAGAAGTTAATATCGAGAGGCAACAATGTCTGTAGCACCCCGACACCAGAAATAAATTGTACCACCTCCTGGGACACAAACATTTCAAACTGGGGAACAGTTGAAGAAGCACTGCAGAGGATTGATAAGCCGTTTGGACAAATGAATGGCCATGTTGACAAGTGTGGCTTTCATTCACAGGTGTGTCGTCTAATTTGTCAAAGCAACGGAGTCATAGAGATAGAAACTGGAACGCAGCGCAGCAGGAAAAGCGATTCCCGAATTAGAGGAAAGTCACATTGTTCCCAGTTCTGGGGGTGGGGCTGCTCAAATGATTTCACGTCGAAGGTATGAAAATTATTACCACCTGGCCCTCCGACCTCCACCAGAACGCAAAATGACTAAGCTAAGCTTACTCTTCTAATCCAAGATGGGAATCTAAAATTTCTACAGTTCTTCTCAAAGCACCTTACACTCTTTCTTGGAAAACTGTTCCATTGAAAGACTAATTACTTTTTTCGGAGGCTGGCAATGAAAGATGCTTCTAGAAAGCAAGCTTGTGAGTACACAGTGAAATGTACTCTGCAGAGGTTTTTAAGACAACCTCGTCTACCGGGGAAAAACTGCTCAGTCACTTGGCACACGGTGAAAAGGCTTTACAATATCCACAATTCACAGGATCCTCGGACTTGGGAGTAAAGGTGAGGTCAGTCTCCCACAGAAACGGAAGCATCACGGAGAGAACTCAAAGCGCCTTAAGGTCATTCATGTTCAACCCCTGGTGGAGGCATGTCATGGGGGAAGGTGTAACTAGGGGCCTGGCAGGAGAAAAGCTTGCTGGATACACTGCTGTGTGGCTGGCTGCCCACCATGAGCCTGCTGTCACCACTGCTCAACACCGGTGTGGGGACAGGGGCAGGCCAGGCTGTCATCTGTCCCAGCACCAAGTTACAGGGCCTTTATTTTCCCTTCTGCAATTTGCTTTGCATCCCCCCCCCATCTAAGGTTTGTTTTGGAGGTCTAGTTGACAATTAACTCAAAAATTGATCTATGTCAAACAGCCAAGTGTCCATCAGTAGATGAGTGGATAAAAAAGCTGTGGTACATATACACAATGGAATACTATGCAGCTGTAAGAAAGAGAGATTTCTTATCCTTTGAGACAACATGGAGGGACCTAGAGTGTATTATGCTAAGTGAAATAAGCCAGTCAGAGAAAGACAAGTACCACATGATCTCACTTATTTGTGGAATATAATGAACAAAATAAGCTGTGGACCAAAAAACATCCAGAATCATGGAAGTAGGGAACAGACTGACAAACCTCAGAGGGATGGGTGGGAAGAGATAAACCAAATAACATATGCATATAGGCAAAACCAATCACCATGGACACTAGGCTGGGGAAGGCAGGAGGGGGTGGAAGTGTGAAGGAGGGGGTCAGTGGGGAAAAAGGGGGGACATCTGTAGTACTTTCAACAATAAAATAAATAAATAGATAATTTTTTCAAGTAAAAAAAAGTTGATTTATGTGTTTTTCTTTTTTCTTGTGTTAATTCTCACCCAAGGATATTTTTTCCAATGCTTTTGAGAGTGGGTGGGAGGGAGGGAAGAAAGGAGGAGGGGAGTGGGGGAGAGAGAGCGAGAGAGACCACAATGTTAGAGAGACACGTTGTTTGCCTCCTGCACACATCCCAACCGAGGCTGGGGATCGAACCTGAAACCCAGGTATGTGCCCTCAACCAGGAATCAAACCTGTGACCCTTCAGTGCATGGGCGGATCCTCTAACCACTGAACCACATTGGCCAGGCTATGTGTTTTTTGAAAATATGAAGATTAGGTAGAGAAAGTATCATTATAAAATATGCATTGTTTTTTTGCATTGCAAAAGTCTGCCATTTCAACATAATTATCAGAAATCAAATTTCTGATGAAGAGCAAAAAGAGGAACAAACATTAGCATCATCAGAGAGTTTTTGTATTTGGATTATCTTTGTTCCCCATTGGCACTGGTGGTCACCGAGGGTAGAAGCAAACCAAAGGCCCACGCTGCTCACCATTCAGTTAACCTGTGTTTCTCCGGGAGAATTTTTTTTTTTTTATCCTCACCCGAGGACATTTTTCCACTTTTTGTTCAGATAGAGTGGGAGGGAGAGAGAGGAAGAGAGAGAGAGAGAGAAACATCGATGTGAAGGGACACATCGAGTGGCTGCCACCCGCACGACCAACCAGGGCCGGGGACAAACTGCAACCGAGGTACGTGCCCTTAGCGGGAACCGAACCCGGGTCTCTCTGTACCGCAGGCCGACGCTCCAACCGCTGAGCCAAACCGGCCAGGGCTCTATGGGAGAATTTTTACCACGCTGCACGGAACATTACTGGGTGAGACGGCCCTGTGCTGAGTGTGTTTTTGTTTTTTTTAATCTTTGTTTAATTTCTTTTGGTACAGTGCTATCTAATTACCGATTAATTGGTTCTGCAAATGCAAATCCTTATAATTAAACGTGAAGAGATGATACACCAAGTAGAATTTGTTACACTTTGAGAAAGCTGTTGCAGAGGCCGTCTGGTAGATTTAGGGTTGTTGAGGGAAAAACAAACAAAAAACTCGTTCCAGATGATACTGCATGTTTACTTCTGATTGGAAATTAAATTCCACTTCAACAGTGGAATCCACTGTTGAAGATCTTCCCAATCACATGTTTGTAACAGGCTGAGGCCTATTCCAAATAGTTTTTCCTCCCAGACCTGGTTGAGTATAATGGAACTTAATAATATTTAAAATAAGTTAAAAAAAAAAAAAAAAAGTCATGTTCATTGCCATTCTATACGTGCTTTGTGGCTCAGGCTGACGGGCTTTGCCGGGTGAATGGGATTTCCAGATGGGACAGCGGCAGCTGGGGCAAGGAAGCAGGCAAGGCTGTGGCTTCCAGAGAGCTTCTGAGCCCTGGGGGGAGGACGCAGTGAGAGAGAAGAGGGGTGGAGCCTGGCCTGCTTCTCAGGCCTCCTGTGTCAAGCTAAGTGTTTTTTGTGTTCTTGTAAGCCGAGAGAGCCATAGAACATGCACGAACCCGGGAGAAAGGTAGCTGATCAATCTGGATTTTAGGAACGGATCAAAATGCAAACAGTGATGGAAAGGGAGAAAACTGAAGGTGCACTCTGTAGCTATTTTTAGCCGAATCTTATTTCAAACCCAAAGTACTAGACTAAGAGACAACCGCTCCTCTGTGAATAGATGGTATTCAGTCTGTGAGTTCAGAACTCCCTTGGTTTGGCTCTGGATGCGTCTCTGGGGGAAAAGAGAGTGCAGGCTCTGGAATGAGTCACATCGTGCGGCTTCAAGTCCACTCTCTGCCATGACTGGCTGTGTGACCTTGGGGAAACCACTTCACCTCTCTGAGCCTCTATTTCTTCACCTGTGAAAGGAGGATAAGAATAGATCTGTTGGGATGATCTAATGAGAAAACACATGTGAGCGCCAGCAGAGCCTCACCCACAGCCAGGGTTCCAAGGACGTGCACTCTTACCCTTTGCATTCATGAATCAGACCACTGCATCTCCCCTGCACACAAGGTGGACACAGTCAATGACTCTTCCCACTCTTCTCACTGGGCACCAGCACTAGCAGATGTTGCTTTCCTTTTTGGGAGGCAGGGAGGCGCTGTTGGTGGTGGTGTAGTATTCCAACTTCACAGGAGTTACTCTGTGAGAGGTGACAACTGGCACACAAAGCAGCAGCAGCTGCCTTGTCCCTCGCTGGGGCTTCGTGGTGGAGCCTTGGCCAGGATCCAGCCCATGACATCATGGCTCTGGAGGACTTTCCACAATAGCCAGCCTGGAATGAGTCTGGACTGATGTCCCTGAATTCCTGCTCTCAAGCCTCACTCTTAGAGGAATAGCTCTGAGCGGAGGGCTTTTCTGCAAACAGTCTCAAAGAAAACCTGGTGGGGTCTCGCCCTCCTGAGATCTAGTCTGTTGGAGGACCAGAGCTTAATCGAACATACAAAAATAAACATAAACCTACGGA